AGGGAAGGGATGAGTAGGTAGAGCACACAAGGCTTCTGAGCAGTGAAAATTACCTTGAAACACACCATCATGATGGATACATGTCATTATACATTTGTCCAAATCTATAGAATGCTAAACACCAGCAGTTAACCCTCAGGTAAACTATCAACTGTGGGTAATTATGTGTCAATGTAAGTTCATCAGTTGTAAAACATATAACACTCTTGGGGCACCTGGGTGGCTCAGTCAGTTGAGCATCCAACTGGTTCACATCATGAGCTCATGGTTCATGGGTTCAAGCCCCACATCAGGCTTTGATGGCAACACAGAGCCTGCTCTGGATATTCTGTCTCCCTCTCTCTCTGCCCTGCCCCACACGCATGCGGGCACGCTCTCTTTCTCTCTCTCAAAAACAAAACAAAACAAAACATTAAAAAGACTTTTTAAATATATCACTCTGGTGAAGGGTATTGGTAATAGAGGAGGGTGGGGGTGATGCAAGGTGATATGAGAAATCTCTACCTTTCCCACAATTTTGCCATGACCTAAAACTGCTCTAAAAACAAAAGTCTAAATCATTTTTTTTAAGCTTGACCATAAAATACTTTTTTAATGTTTTCAAACGGGGCATAGTGAGGGATTTGAGAAAGAAAATATAAGGAAGTTTCAGAAAACTAAACAAAGTTAATACACAACCACCATAAACGGATAGGAAATGGTTGAAATCTACAAACATATTGTAGAGTTGAGAGAAAAAGAACCACCAGATCAACATGCAGGGTGAAGCAGAATGGGGTGGTTGTTCACCAGAATCCACTTCCACTTGTTTTCACAGTGATGAGTGGAGGCTGGTGTGCAGCCCGGGGAGCCACTGCATCTTGTATGGCCCCTTGGAGGGGAGGGTGGTCATGTGACCACATTCTGGCCAATAGAAGGAAGTGTGCCATTTCCAGACAAGCCTGTAACATCTGGCAAGCACGCCTCTCCACATTCTTCCCACTTCCTGCTGGCTGCAATCTGAACTTGGAACACATAGAGACAAGCAAATGGTTTAGATGATGGAGAGTAAGATAGAAGCAACCTGGGTCCCTGAGCCACCACATGGACAAAGATTCTTGCTGACCTAGAGCACCCATCCTGGACTGTGAGGTGAAAAAAGAAACCGACTTTTATCTTAACTGAGCCATTATATTTTGGGTCTCCTTGTTAAAACGATTTATTCTGATGCTAATAATTTGGGTGCTAGTCTTTAGAAGTTAAATCCAAAGCTGATCAACAATGGGACTTTTTGTCAACAACCTTATCGTTGTTTTCTCAGTAGGGGGCTCTATCTCCGTGTCACTGTTCCTGACTGTGGGCCCTCTGAAGACTGGAATCACGCCTCCCCTCTACTTAACTGTTGGCACAGAAGCACTGAGCACGCACCTCAACAGCAGTCATGTCAGGTAATGCTCCATAGCGATGATGGGGTGACAACTCTCATGAACCCTTGTAAAATAAGTCTACGTGTCTTTGTCTCCCTGTCCATTTGCAAAACTGGCTGAAGTCAGCAGGAAGGAAACCTAGCGTCAAGGTCACTCGTTCTCTGTGCCCGCTGATAACCACGTATAACCGACACCCATGGTGCCTTTATTTTCCCTTCTTCCAGGATGCAGCAGCCGTCCTGTGGGATGCCACCTGACCAGTGGCAACTTCTTTCACCAAACCATTGTCCGTACGAACGTCCTATCGTCCTGAAGCTCCCTGTGTCTATGATGATTGGCTTACCACAGCGTCTCTTGGGTCTCACTCCTTCCGTGCTGCTAGAATCTTCTTTAGTGCTTTTATAAAAGGCCTTGGATGCTCAGCCACCAACCTCACTTCCACTGCCTGACCACAGCCCATCTCTCCCTAAGAGTAACTTCGAGGTAAGTGGTTACCTTAGGATGGATCAATTCTTATCATTTTTGCAGAATATTGTAGATAAGGTAATTAACTATAGGAAATGCTAGAGGTCCAAGGAGCAGACATACAATACCAACTGTCTGTTCAAATCTATTTCTTAGTTGGCACGTGGCACGGAAGACAGCGCTGTTACAGTAAAGGATCAATCTTATTTCCTTGTGGTGTTTTGGATTCAAACCATAGTAATAGTTCACATGTCCAGAAATTAGCCACCTGACAATCTCACTCATCTTGATCACAGCTCAAAGTCAGAATGTAAGGAAAGGGGCTTCTGGGTGACTACTGTAGAGGAGGAGATGGGGGTTGAATGGAAAACAGAGATGACTCACAACCTGGGCACTGAAGGGCAGGTGTTTTGCTCAGAGAAGAGCTCCCAAGCCCCTCGATCAATGCCTGTGTTCTTTTAAAATAATAGTTAAGATAACTGATTTCATTTGGATTCCCAGTCCACAAGTAACCAGAAACAAAAGCTGATCACAACAAATGATACCTCAGAGGCCAAAAATGATGATAGAGACAAAAAAAAAAAAAAAGCTATTAAAATGAGTACAACTAAGAAACTCACAGAGCCCAGGGGGCATTTAGTAAGTAACTCACTCACCAACTAGCCTTTATCCCCTGAGGACACCTCTGTATTTTTATAATTCAGTTCCACAAGTGATGCACCCAGTAGGTTTTTAAGCTTTGGTTTTAAAAACAACAGACTCTAGTTATCTGTAAATTTTAATGATGCTGAATTTCTCACTACCAAGAAATGCCTTTAAATGAGATATTCTTAACTCATTAATAGAGATAAAGTCTCAGGATTAATTGGCCTGTGTTGTATATACTGCTTATCTAAATTAGACCGCCCATATCCTAAAATACACTCACTCCAGAGGAGGCCAGCACTGGGGAAGCATGAGTGTTCTCCTTGGTGACAAAAGAAGTAGTTACACGGGACGCCTGGGTTAAGCTCAGTGGGTTAAGCGTCCAGCTTCAGCTCAGGCCATCATCTCATGGTTTGTGAGTTCGAGCCCCGTGTCAGGCTCTGTGCTGACAGCTCAGAGCCTGGAGCCTGTTTCAGATTTCGGGTCTCCCTGTCTCTCTGCCCCTCCCCTGCTTGCACTCTGTCTCTCTCTCTCAAAAATAAATAAACATTTAAAAAAAAATTTTTTTAAGAAGCGGTTACATAACTTGCCTAGCCTGGAGGTGACCAGGACACTTGTAAGGCGCATGTGCACCTTCTTGAGGATGGCCAGATGGCAACAAGCCCAAGATATGGCTGGGATATGAATCAGAGCCACCCTCGTGGCTTTTGCACTCACAAAGCTGAGTGTCTTCTCTGCAAAGTTACTGAAGGAGGTAGTTCCCACCTAAAACACCCTTCCACTTCTACCCTTATCTATCACCTTCCTCTTCTCTTAGGTCAAGTTCAAGGCCTACTCTTGCCCACAGTGCCCTCCCTTACCACATACGCCCTTCCTGGTCTCCTCTCTCTCCTCTGCAGTCTGCTCATATTACTATCCGGAATATTCGTTTGGTGCTTGCCGTAACTGTTTTATACCATCAGCTCTCATTTCCTTGCAAACTGGTGAGTGAGGTCCTGGAAGCCACAGACTGTCTTAGAGGCCTTTGAATCTTCCATTGAAAAGAGCATGGGGCCTTGAACATGGCACACCTTCAATAAACACAGGACTGTTCTGTTCCCTGAGCAAATGTTTATTGACTGCCTGCTATATGTCAGCTACACAAAATCCCTGTCCTTGTGGAGTTTGTAGTCTAGCGGGTAAAGACAGACAGTAAAACACGCTTAAAATGGACCGGACACTAGTATTAACTGCTAATGAGAAATAACTATAACATGAAATCTGGGCGGTGGGGGAAGCTTTCAAATTTTAGATTGTGTGATCAGGGAGAAAGTGATCTTTGAGTGAAAACCTGAAGAAGTTGGAGAGTGAGCCATGGAGACACCTGGGGGAAACATGTTTCAGACGGGCATCAGCAGACACTACTGTTGAACCTCTCAGTTTTCAAGTTGGGATATTTATTTTTTAAATAAATAAATGTACATTGATATCAACTTTAAAAATGTCCTGCCTATTATATGTAATATAGATTTTATATTGTATATAATAAGAGTAGAATTAACATACTATTATTAACTTTTCAAGTATATGCATTAAGATATACATGTATATATATATATATATATATATATATATATATACATACACACACACACACACACACACACGTATACATATAGTGATTTAATAAGACTGGTGTTAACAGCAACTCCTGTCGAATCCCCGGGAGCAGGACATTTTAAGCTGTAAGAACACGAGCCACATTAAACAAATCACTACTTATACCTTAGAGGATTAGACTGAGAGTCTTAAAATTTTTGTGCCCTTGGCCATATTGGCAGGTGATATCACTCCTTAGATTATCAGCCCCAGGCAGTTAGTTTACTTTGCCACAGAAGAAGCAAGATTGGCCCTAACGGATGGAAGAGCAGTCTCACTTGGGGCACGTTATCAATGACGCTGTTAGCAAGCACTTCCATTATTAGCTCCTGCCAGAAATTGTAGTCAGGATACCTCCTTAGCTACAAGATACACTGACAGCGTGAATTTTGCCCATCGTGAGGTTTGGTTTCCGGCTAGTCTGGAGTTGCCCCAGAGGGGCTCAATCTGATTGGCTAAGCAGGTTATTGCCTAGCCAATCAAAATACAGTTACGTAGTTTCCCCTTATCCATGGGAGATATATTACAGGACCCCCAGTGGATGCCTGACAGCATACATAGTACCAAACCATATATATATACTGTGTTTTTTTCATATATATATACACATATGTATATACATATATATATATACACATATATATACATATATATACATATATATGTGTGTGTATATATATATGTGTGTGTGTGTGTGTATATATATACCTATGATAAAATTTAACTTAAAAATCAGGCACCGTAAGAGATTCACAACAATAAGAATAGGACATCTATAACAATATACTATAATAAACGTTACTCTGTCTCTCTCAAAATATTTTATTGTACTGCACTCACCCTTCTCTTGTGATGATGCGAGCTGATTAAATGTCTACTCAACGAAAGGAAGTGATGTAGGCATTGTGTCGTAGCGTTGGGTGACCTTCTGACGCTATGTCCCAGGGAGGATCGTCTGCCTCCGGATATTGGTTAACGGCAATAACTGAAACCACAGAAAGTGAAACCACAACCACAGATAAGGGGGGACTGCTACAGTCGAGACACCAGTTGAAGAAACTTTTCCCAGCCCGGCACTACAGCGGCCTCTGGCAATGAAGGTCAAAATGAAGTGTGAACGTACTGTCCTGTCGTAACTTCTCTTTCCTTCTCCAATGGGCCAAACTATCCTCTTGCTTACTTTCCTTAAAGACCAGAGGTAGTAACCTCAAAGCTATTGTCAACACAGGATAGCATCAAGATTTTTGTCCTTTGGGAACAGCTGCATAAGATCACGTCTCCTCTCCATGTCCCTTCCCACCCAGAGCCCCTGAGCAGCCATAACGCTCAGCCTTGAGGGAAGGTCTTGCCTCTCCCTCCACCATCCTCTTTCACCGCTCCCCCCATCCCGCCCTTCTCTTCTGGAACTCCACGGCTGACTTTTGAGAGTTACTTTCTGCCAAGACTTTTTTTTTTTTTTAAACATCTGGTGTCTGTGCCACTGCCAAGCTGGGATTGACTTACCGAACACAAGGACATTCAAAATCCACAGAGTCAGATCAATCTTTAATGAAAAACCAACAAACATTCAAAAGCTGCCACTAAGCAGCTACGGGTTGAAGGCAACTCCAGCTTAATTGGCATCCATAGCACTTTCACCTGCTGCCAAGTTCCAGAGAACCGGCTCCTAGAACTGCTCCGCCAAATTAGGCCAGTTCTCCATCGGGCTCGTGTTGCTATGTTGCTAATTAGGGCGATGCAGAGCATGCTTGTCCAAATGGGGTTTCATCTCGGCATAGATGCTCCCTGAAACTGGAAGGTTTCTAAATGCTCCCTAAAACTCACTGCCATTTTGTAACTTGCATTGATCAGTGGTGAGGAAATCACTAAACAGTCTCTGTTCTCACCAAATGGTGTAATATCAACTCCCTGATGGTTGGGGGACTCGATGAGTGGAGACATCTTTGGACTAAGAAGTATAATTTATATTGGTGGGGTAATATAAAAGGATTTATGAAATCTAAATCTTTTCAAAGATAGAAATACAAGGATTCTCTTTGTTAACCTTTCAACTCTCAGGATTTTTCCAATCAGCTGATTTTTGAAAGCAATTTTTCTCACCCCCAGCTATGCATTAGGTTGGGCGTAGGGTGCTGGCACTCAACACAGATCAATCATTCAGAACCTCTGGAGATGGGGCCGACATTGGTCGTTGGCCTCCAAATCCCTCTAGTTGATTGCAAACAGGAAACTGGGCTGGAGAACTGCTGCTCCACAGGAATCGAGTTTGTTGTTTGAAACATTTATTTTAAAGGAAGAATGGAGACAAAAAGTGTGTGTGGGGCTTCGAAAAGTCTGATGGTTATAATCCCTGCTTACCCTCGTGGCTTGGCTTTGGGTATATTCTCTCGTGGGGTACTTTTTACCTGCACGAGGAGTATTTTTCTCAGAGATGTCGAGAAAATGTGTAGGGGCGCTGTATTAGTTTTCTCAGGCTGCCACAACAAAGTACCATGGACTGGGTGCCTTAAAGAACCATAAATCGATTTTCTTAACGTTCCGGAGGCTGGAAGTCCAAGATCAAGATCAACAGGGTTCTGTCTTCTAACACCTCTATCCTTAGCTTGTTGATGGCCATCTTCTCTCTGTGTCTTCACATGGTCTTCCTGCTGTACATCGCTGTGTCCCAATGTCCTCTTCTCATAAAGGCACCAGTCATGTTGATTAGGGTCCACCCAACATAACCTCATCTTACCTTAACTACTCCTTTAAGAACCCTATTTCCAAATACAGTGAGCTTCTGAGACTAGAGGTTAGGACTTCGACGTATGAATTGGGGGAAGAAGCGACACAATTTAGCCCATAATAGGCACTTTTAAATAATAGTGGATTGTGAGGGGGGAGGTGAAAATTCCTTTTAACAAGTTTATTTTTAGGGGCACCTGGGTAGCTCAGTCAACCGCGTCAGGCTTCAGCTCAGGTGGTGATCTTGAGGTTTGTAAGTTCAAGCCCCCATCAGGCTCTGTGCGGACAGCTCGAAGCCTGGAGCCTGCTTCGGATTCTGTGTCTCCTCTCTCTCTGCCCCTCCCCCATTTGCACTCTGTCTCTCTAAGACAAAATAAAAACATTAAAAAAAATTTTTTTTAATTAAAGAAAACAAATTTATAAGTTTATTTTTAAAAAATCGAGAAAAAACTCAAAAGTAAAGATCTTGAACCATGGCCCATCATGATGGGAAGATCATGCCAGAGGAAGGAAGTCTCAGGACCCACTGAAATCCCAGTGCTGGGGTATTGCAGGAGATGCCTTGTAAAGATGTAAAAGATCACCTACTCAATCGGAATTCTTCAATTGCCTCCATTGTTCGGAGTGCCCCAGACAGCCTTGGGTGCTGTATTCCCATGATGTAATAGACTTTCCCTTCCCAAGAGGTCTCTCGTTTCTTGGCCCTTCAAGTTGCTCATAAAATTTATGTTAGTATAAAAGGTATACGATGCATAAATCCTTGGTAGTCTTGAATTACAGATAACTTTTAGAAATAGTAAAAACTATTTTTTTAATTATCTGCTCCCTACATTTGTGGTTCCTGGGAAATACCACCTCGATGGGTTTGACCTTAGACACTGAGTTTAACTTTTGTAAAATTCAATATTTCTAGAGAAGGGAAGACAAGGAAGAATATAGAAGCGAAACAGAGAGGTACGTGGTGTGTGTGTGTGTGTGTGTGTGTGTGTGTGTGTGTGTGTGGTGTGGGGGTGTGGGGGTGTGGGGGTGGGGTGGGGAGGTGCACAGATAAGGCAACACAGAACCAGAAAAAGCCAAATGTAGGCGATGGCACTCTTGTGGAGGATACCATCTACCGGGGTTGTGGACTTAGAAGACCCTCCCTAGGCAGGAGATACTCTGATTCTGAGCTACTATTTGAATAAATCTCTCTGTCCCTTTACTTCAATAAGGGCAAATGTAATCATCATTTGGGGCAGATTCAGTGCTCCAAATCAGTCATTGTACCAGTCCCTCAAGAAATTGTTTCTGAGAAACTAATATGTGCATAGCACTGTCCAGAGAGCTGCGGCCAACACACAAAGGTACAACCTATACCCACTAATCTCAATGAGCTTAGAGTCTAGCTGAGCACACAATACAAATACAGGTTCAAAGATAAACAACAGCATGAAACTTAGAGAGCAAGGCAAAGGCTATCGTAAGATGATGGTCTATAATTGCCCGCGTAAGGCTCTAAAGGAAAATTTCAATCATTTCAGATTGGAGGCTGCAGTAAGAGATGTGAATTCAGAACCATCCTCATAGACTGGGCTCAGGGCAAAAGAGCCCAGAGAAATGGACAAGAGAAACTTCGAGAATGAAAGGCAAGGACAAAATGGACTAGCCATTGTTGTTTGTTCCTCACTGGTTTGTTTTAGGATGCATTTATTAGATCTGGGTTTCAGTAGAAAAGCGCTGAACACATTTATAAAAAAAAAAAAAACAAACGCAAGTCAATTTTCAGTCAATTTCTCAGTTTCTATCAGGTCTTTCAGCCCCGTCCCCACTCCAAACAACTAGGCAAATAAACACATGACCTGATGGGCCAGCTCACACTATGACCACTGTCAGTGGGAAACTAGATCTTGGCTATGGGCACGGTCATTTAAAAGGGGTCGGTTTGGTCCTCAATATAAACTGGTCATTACAGAACATGTGAGACCTGACCCTTCTTCAGGAACTTGCCCAGTGTGGCTAAAATTGGCCTCCTGATTTAGACATTGCTAAGGAGAGAAAACACACCGCGGGCTGAGAGACTTTCAAAAGTCTTTTCTTTCTCTAAAAGGAAACGAGGCCAAAATCAGCAACCAGAGTAGACTCAAGTTTATGAAAGCTATCTAGCTTCCACCTCAGGAATGTGAAGGAAACTCGGGTCTTTCTTAAGCAATGTCTTTTATCCAATTTGCTTTAAAAAAATTTTTTTTTCAAAGCTGCTGCTGCGTTCAAGTTACCATTCCTTTTCTGCTATTTTGTTTTTAAATTCTGTTGCTTTAAAATAAAAGCCAAGTATGTGGAATACCATAGGAGATGATTGTTTTCAACCAGGAAGATTTTTCTCACTTCTCTGTCCCAGGCTTCAACACAGGAGCACGGTACTGACCTGCTCTTTGGACCTTGGAATGTGTGAGCAATGGGGGGCATGATCTGCCTGCCCTTTGCCACTCAGAGAGCAGGGCACCCCTCCATTCAGTGGCTGGGCCAGCAAGCCATTGTGCAACCTATTCTCCCCCACCCGGATCCCATGCTATTGCTACACTGTCTTTTCCTTTGATTCGTAGGGAAGGTACCTCCTTCTAAATGGTAAATCCACTCTTGTAAGTAAACTGAAACATTTGCATTGGTTCTTGGTTAGTGACCAACTAGGTTTCCTTGTTCTTAGCTCTGCTGGGTAGGCAGCAGAGACGAATTATAGATGAACTTGAATTTGAGTAAGAATCCTCCCTCCCCAAATCTATACTTTGCCCTCCTCCTCTTCTTCCCTACCTCTTAGAAACACACATCCAGTTAGGGGCTAAGACCCTATTCTCTCCTTTCTAGAACCTCCACCTTCACCTAACTCTTATACCTCTCTGGCATTAAAGCCATCTTGAAAAAACCTGTGTCACACCACGTTCTTGATGGCAAACCCCTTTTGGCTTTCCAATCAGGAAGACCTAATGTGAGTGAATACAGATGACTCTGTGAACCAGCTAGACAACTCCAATGTGTGGATTTGGTGGCATTTTTGCATATGCCCAGGGATCTTGGCACAGGCTGGTGTAATGTTATTCTACTCCAGCTCTTTGTTACCCTGTGGGAATACTGACCTAGTGTTATTGTAGGAGTTTTCAAGGGAAGCTCAAAGTCAGAGGAGTTGTATGTAAGATGTTCTAATTTTCCAAGGTTGGCTGAATTTTTTAAAGCATTGTGAAAGCCAAACAAAATATGTCTGAGGGTCATGTTCAACCTCAGGCTGCCAGT